AACTATGCAGATAACAAGCTCTGACTTCCCTTTCTGAATGTTTGTTCCCTGTCAGTGATTCAAAGGTTATTAAAGCCAAAGTCAACCAAGCAAATAGCATTTCCAGAATGAAGACAGCAATGGTAACATCAATGGTGTATTTATGTTTCGTGCTGCCTTAGGCAACACAAAATTCATCTCCCCCCGCCCCACGAAGAGATCCTGAACCCAACCAACACCCCCCTCCCCCATGAAGAGAGCCTGACATTGACCAACAACACCTCATCTCCCCCACCCCACCCCGAGAGAGCCTTCTACTACCACCGTCCCCCATATACTGGCAACCCCCTACCCCTGCGAGAGAGAAGACACTCACCTTCACAGCTCCAGACATCCCCGGGAACAAGAGTCAGGCTTTGCATACACCATCAAGCAGCCTGCAGCCTCTCTCAGATTCAACTTGGTCCCCATGCTGTGTGTGTCCTTTCTTCCATCACTTATTTTGGTGGGCGGCACTGCCCCCTTGAAAATTGCTGCTTCCCCCATGAAAGATGCTGCTGCCCCCCTGAAAAATGCCACCCTAGGCAAATGCCTTGTTTGCCTTGTGGTAAGTACACCCCTGGGTAACATACACTTATCTTTTAGCATACATAGGTTTCCCCTAATGCTGCTATTCTGGTCAACTCCTGTAGGGATAGGAATGAAAGTTTGGTTCCTTTCTGAACCAAATATTTCTATCATAAAATAGAACAAAAAAATTGTTGTTTGGCAGCTGTATATGTATACAGATGCAACCATCACACATCTAGATTTTATATTCCACTTGCACAATATTAGAAAATGAGTATTATCAGCCACGTGAACATATATTATTTGTAAGTTAATTTTAAATCTGTCAGTTCTGTTCAGAAAGTAACCCAGAGATTGTTATCTTAGTATAATATATACATTATAAATGTACAATGAACAATCATTTTCAACATATTCTGTAATATGAACTGCTTTTTTGCACAGTTTGCTTCAAAGAATGTGTTAACTACTGTATGTATTTTAAGTAATGCTACTGTTTATTATATTAATTTTATTTTACATATAGATATGTATATATGTCAGACATTATGGATTGATTGTATTTAGTTATTTATTGAGAAGAAAAATCAACTACAGGTATATCATTTTTCAACCTTCGTGTATGTTTCCCAGAATTGCTGTTAAAGTGATTTTAAAGGCCTGATTTGTTAAATAACAAACACGTTATGCTTACCTGCTCTGCGCAGGGGTTATGCACAGAGTGGCCCTAAACCTCCTCTTCTTGGGTCCCCTACCAACGGTCTGGGCTCCTCCCCCCTGTTGAATGCCCTCATAAAAAGCTGATTACTCTGGGGGAATTTGTGCATGCTCGCTCCAGAGTCTCTGTGTATCCATAAGACACCCCTGCTCCCTCTGTACTGGCTGTGATTGACAGCAGCAGAAACCAGTGACTCCCTCTGCTGTCTCTGAGCCAATGAAGAGGCAGAGAGCCTGGATAGCAGCCATTATCGAAAACATCGCTGGACCAAAATTGTGCTAAGCTAAGTTTTTTGAAGGTTTCATATCTTCAAGCATAAAATGCATGAAGGTAAAAAACCTTCACACTTTACAACCATTTTAGTACAGAAAATACTAGTTATAGAAAATACAAACTCACTGACTATTTAAGCACAGACACTAATTGCAATTTAAAAAGTCTCCTTGTGTGTCTGTACCAAGGCCAAACATTTCAGGGTATGGAAACTTTTGATCATGGCCATTTGGGTGATTTCTGTTATCATTATGATTTAAAAAGTAGCCAAACAACTATGTGATAATAAATGGCTTCATATGATCTCTATTCTTAACTCCTTCATGCCGGATCGTCCCGGCGTAAAGAGGAGTTCCTGCGCCGGGAGGTGGGCGGGACGGGGTGTGGCTTAGTGTCATGTGGCCGCCGTGACGTCACGTCACGGCCGGTCACATGATCGGGAAAGGTCCCGATCGAAAGAGCGGACCGAGACTTTTCCGTGAGTACCTCACATGTGTGCTGGGAGCGCGCAGGGCGCGCGCTCTCAGCACATATGTTTTTTGCTACATGAACGCAAATATGCGGCTGCACATTTGCGTGCGGCCGGCATGAAGGGGTTAAATAAAAGAGTTTTTTGGCATGATCAGTCATATTTTCAATATCAATGCCAACATTTCATGATTTCTGCCAGGGTATACAAACGTTTGAGCACAACTGTATATGCTGATATGCAGAGCAGTGACACTTCTTTATGTGTCCCCTGTGCTTGGTTATACTGTATGACATAACATCAGTGCAGAAATATAGTCCTGTGCTCTATCTATATATTATAGCAGCTCTATATTTGCGTTTGCTGCATAATAGTTTATTAAGAGTCTGGATAGGTAGCTGGAACTTACCCTGCCCCCATAGGCGCAGGGCTGAAGCTATGTCTGCAGCAGTCATGGTCCCAACACCTCTGGTCAGCAGACCACTGCACACAAGACTGTTACAAAAGTCAGAAAGAGCTAGGTTGGAAAACCTTGCGAAGAGAAAAAAGAACTGTTCTCACCTGAGAGTTGGGATTCTAGTTAGATTAATTATATGTATTCTAAATGCTGTATTATTTATTCAAGAATATAATGTATGAAATTGAATGCAGTGATCGCTGCAGTTCCAATATAACAAAATTTAACATATGGCATTTATCATTATGCTAGTCATTAAAATGACTCCACTACACAAAATTATTGATTACACATGTTTTGCTAACATATGGTATCTTGAATAATATAGTAAATAAAGAAATAAAACCAATATGCATTTCTCATTTTAATGAGTCCCTTCTGACTGCGTTGTCTGATTACATTGTCTGAGTAAGCAGTTGAAAGAATGATTTAACCCTTTACTTTATTTTTTTACTTTCAGCAGACTTTTTTTGAGATTTTGTTTTTGCCAGAAATGGCTTTTTCTTAGCTATTATGTTGTCATGTAGGTTGCAACTATATTACGGCTTACAGAGTGATTTGTATGTCAATGAAAGGATGGAATGCAACATATCATCTATAGTGACTTTCAGAATAAAACCCATGTTAGGTTATGTACACTGCAAGCTGCAAGTGTATGTATTGAAGGGTTGGTATGCAGGTTTGCAGTTAAAGTATTGAGAAAGGGGCAGTTAACAAGTCTGTGTCCAGCATAGGGAAGTAGAACATTGTCATAGAAAGTACTCTTATACTGATACAAGCCAAAGTCATGTGGATGCAGAGCATTACTTTTCTTCTATATAGCCCGGATGGCTTCAGAAAATCTCTGTCTATGAGTGAGATTACTGAAACACATAACTTCTTTGTGAACGCACCAAGGAAAATCAGTTATATTGGCTAAAATATTAGACGGAATATACAATCTACTAATCGCCTCCTAACCTCTGGAACATTCACTTTTAGATGAGATTGCAACAATCATACTTTGCTGCCTCATAGTCTTTTATTGCAACCAGGGGCGGACTGACCATTTGGAAACTCGGACCCAGGGTCAGTAGGGGGCCCCATGAGATGCCCCTGGTACCTTTTTCATAGGCTTTTTGAGTTTGGGCAAGGACACAGGGGCCCCATCATCCCCTATTGCCCAGGGGCCCCATGAGTTGTTAGTCCGCCCCTGATTGCAACTAGTATGGCATGTTAAAAAAATGCACAGGCAATGGTTGTACAATGGGTAGGCTGTGACTACTAGGAAGAATAACTATACAGCATACTGTAAGAATCACAATTATGTAATGGGTTCAATTTACAAAAATGTGTATTCCCTTTGTATTGAAGTAGTTGAAGAGTTTATCCAGGAGATGTTTTGGTTGATGTCACACTTGGTAGCCATTGCTAATTTTCTTACGTAGAAAACATTACAACATGGATGCTTGCCCACAAGTAAGTATGGCAATACAAATCAGCCTTAGTTTTGATCTGAGTTGTACAACTCCCCATAGAACATGCAAAGAGTTACATTTAAGCTGAACCTTTATGTATTGCCAGTGAAATTGACAAGATTAATAGAAAACCTAGTTCGCAAAGATTAGCTCATTTGTCTCTAAGTACCTATGCAAAAAAAACTTTCCATAATATTCAAATATTATTTAATTGTTTAAATGAGAGCAATTAATGGCAATTATTACTAAATTAGCTATTAAGGTCTCTCTTTTAAAGGTCAAATTAAATAAAAAATGCCAAATATAATATAAAAATAATCTGATATTTGCACTTTTATGATAATGGATTTTATTTTGGACTACCTAGAGCAGGAATGGGCAACTGTGGCCCTCCAGCTGTTGTAGAATGACAAGTCCCATGAGGCATTGCAAAGCTGACAGTTACAAGCATGACTCCCAAAGGCAGAGGCATGATGGGACTTGTAGTTCACCAACAGCTGGAGGGCCACAGTTGCCCACCCCTGACCTAGAGAATTATAGAATAAATAAGTGCCACTACTGTCTCTGTTAACAAAACAGTGTGTATTAACCACTTCAAGTCCGGGCACTTTTACCCCCTTTCTGTCCAGGCCAATTTTCAGCTTTCAGTGCTATCACACTTTGAATGACAGTTACGCAGTCATGCAACACTGTACCCATATGAATTTTTTAGCATTTTTTTGAGACAGATAAAGCTTTATTTTGGTGGTATTTATTCACCACTGGGATTTTTTTTTTTTTTTTGCTATGTAAATGAAAATGTCCAAAAATTTGGAAAAAAAGTGTTTTCTTATAAAATTTTGCAAATAAATAGAATTTCATCATAAATCTTGGCCAAAATTTATTCTGTTATCTTTTTAGTAAAAAACAATTACCCAAATTAGTTTATAACCAAAAATTATAATTTTTAAACATTTTATTTACATTTTTTTATTTTTTATATTATTATTTGTTTTTGTTTTTTTTCACATACTGTCACCCTAGCAGTACAGTGTCACCATGGTGACACTGTACTACTTGTGGGGGGTGATGAAGATTTTTTTTTTTTACACTGATTGCTTTTACACCCATAAAAGATGTAAAAGCAATGATTTCTCCTTCTCTCTAGCTGCATTCTTGCAGCTATTGAGAACTACTGTGTGAGCTGTGATTGGTCACAGCTTGTCACATGGTACAAGGCTGTTGTGAATAGCCTTGTACCATGTGACCTCTGTGATCATTCACAGATTTCACACGTAGTAAGCAATGATGTCAATCAGTGATCACATGATCGGGACCTCGCACAGAGGTCCCGTCCGATGATTGGTGTTCCACTGTGTCCGGAAGACACAGCGGGCACCGGATCGTGGTGCTGTGCAATCCCAAGGGAGAGCGCACAAGCAGGGTGCAGGGAGGCCGTTTATAAACGGCCACCCAACCCTGCACTGCCACCGTCCGGCTGTTTATATACATGGCCTGGACGGGAAGTGGTTAAAGAATGTATAATTTGGTTGTCAAAGAATAAAAGAAATATATAGTCCCCTACAGGTGGGACTTAATTAAAGGATATGTACATATTAAAGGATAAGTTCACCTTTAGTAACATGTTACTCCCATATTCAGGGTGTAATATATAACACATTATGAACAAATCGGCCTCCGATCCCCCCATTGTGACAGCTAGCGGCTTTTGGCTTGTAGTTCTCAATGAACTACCAGGGCGCTGTGAGCTCTGTGGTAGTCCATTGAGTCTTCCTGTCAGTAAGTATCTGCTTCCCTGTACGAGGTACTAGGAAGCAGGTACACAGACAGGTCTGCAGGAGACCTGTATGGCATCAGCAATCTACTGATCACTAGTGAAATTGCCTTACAGGCTCCCAAAACAAAAAATAATAATAATGCACATTTTTTTTACATGCAAAAAGGTGAACTTATCTTTTAAAATAAAGTGCATTTATCCTTTCTGCTCCTTTCCTTTGACTAAATATAATCCACTCTCTTCCTCCACAGATGCATACTTATTTCAATCTAGCGACAATGATTGAACTGGTTGTTTACATCCAGCAGTGCAAATCTACACTGTCCTGGCACAGTTGTGCCTTTTACATTACTATGGGGTTCTGTCCCAAGGCAGGAGATGATGGAAGCCAGTCCCATAGAAGTCTAAGGGGCACTAATGCAAAGGCACAGCCAGGACAGTGAAGACTTGCTGTGCTGGATGTACACAAACAACGGAACAGTGGTAGTCCAATAGTGGTAAGTGTGCATCTGTGACTAAGAAGGTTGGGAGATGGGGATGAACATGATAGGCATATTTTGTTTTAAAGTGCACTTATTCTTTGAACGTAAATATTTTCCTCTATCGTATAAAAGTAATGTAACCCTATTGTTTCCATTCTGGCACGATACATATTTTGGCATGCTATACCAAAATGCAGGGAGTACAGTGCAAACACCTATTGTTTTTTTTTACAAGCTAGTTAATGACTTTTGGGGTTAGATTATATTGATTTTGAAACAATACATTGTGTACATTCATAATATTCTGAATGTGGCAGCATAGTTTATATACCTGCAATGGCATATTGAGTGAAGACAATGAAAAACAATTATAACATGCACTGCTAGTGGTAAGCAGAGAAGGCATGCTTCCAATAATTTCAATAAACAGAAAACTTCATTCAGAATATTAAGATTACAATCTTTTTCTACTCTGCATTGCTTAGGACTGCTTCCAGTATATTGTTTAGTGGTGCTTTGTTGCAGAAGTCCTTATCTGTATTATACACTTTGCTTCTAAAAGCCTTCTTCATAAATTCTCCTCCATTGTATACCAAATGCATTTTATTAATTTAGGAAACTTTCAATAACAATTTACTTTTTAATGCATTGATCTTGTTAAGTAACAATAAAGCTGAAATGAATAGCCAAGAATGCAATTATCACAGTGGCCTCTTTTCAAATTGGAATTGATTCCATTATCCGCTTTACATATCAGGAAGTTAAATTAAAAATCAATTAATTGCACACAAATGAAATGGAATATATTGCATCTTGTCTGCTGTTCATGCAAAATTAGCTTTGCGATAAAAACTTGACTTCGCTCCTTTAACTTTTTCCATCATGGGTAAACTCAGTCAATGGCTTCTGCAAAACAATTTATGCAGCACTTTATGTGTTTAGGAGAAATGGTACCTTAGTGACAAAAGAAAGAATAGGAAAATATAATTTAAACAGATTAAACAATTCTAATGACTTTATGTATATGATGTTCTCATTCTCAAAATAACATACAACATTTTACTAAAGAACACATTAATGACAACACCAAAAATAATTATGAATACAAATGAAAGTTGTCTACATCTTCAGCAGCTGCATTTATTTAATTTTTACCTTTTTCAACCTAAACAGTCATTCTTCATATCTCAACAACAAAACATGCATATTGTTACCAAAGTACTATTTCAGAAATAAAAAATCTATTTCCATCCATCCATTTATCCATCCATCTTGAAACTACCTAATCTTTTCTAATCTTTTAGCAATATTAGAAAAACATTAAATAGGTCAGACTGGACTTTCCTTTGCTGACCGGAGTTTCTTTCTCTTTCTTTGGGAATTCAAATTATACCTAAATCCCCTGCCAATAATATTCCTAACAATCTGAAATAGCCTTTCCTCCTTCCAGCTAGACTTAGCTGTTAATGCTGGACATACACACATACAGTGTACAGCTCCCAGCTGAGCCACCCAAAGGAGCTCCATACAAGATACCCAAATGACCCATTAATTATAAGCAGTCCTGCTTTGAAATATTCCTGAAACTCAATTATAGGGTTCCCTGTACATATGGAACAATTAGAAATTCTGAACCTGTGACCTGAGACAGATGCTCTCAACAGGTCATTACTAAATATGTCCCAACCAGGAAAAAGATCTGTATATATGTTGTGTTGTCAGTAAATGTCAAGGATGGGGAGCATTGCTCAGGGTGTCAGTGACTACATTGCATATTTGCATTGAATTGCATGTTAAAGTAGATAAAACATACTCCAACCACTAGAAAAAATACATATGTGCTGTATTTGAATGACAACAGGTTTTCATGGTTGATTTGCAAGATGATTAAAAGAGGGTGCAGGAAGAGGTAATATACCTGTCCTTAGACCTTTGTCCTGTGGGATCTATTTACTCTTCACTTTATAGGTAAAAGTAAAAAAAAAAAATCTGTTTTACAAAACATTGAATGTATTAACCACATGGTACCCACCCACTCGCATTTTACTGTGGATGGCTTGTACAGGCACAATCACATACCTCCAGCTGACTCCTGCTGTGATTGAACACAGAGGGATTTTGTCATCAGGTTTCAGCCAGTGATTCATGTTTTTCAAAAATGTTGGTCTTTTTTATTTATATAATAAGAAAGAAAAAAAAGTAGTGGTCAGCAAATACCAGCAAAAGTGGGGAAATGTAGGGAAATGAAGGTGGGGGTGTGGGGGAATAAATTATGGCGGATACTCTTGTACTGATGCCAGAAGACAAAGAAGGATAAAAGCTAGTGCTGCTCCTTCTAAACCAGGGGTGTCCAAACTTTTTTGGAAGAGTGCCAGATTTGATGAAGTGAACATGTGCGAGGGCCGACCATTTTGCCCGACATTCTGATGAACCATTAAAATTAAATGCAAATGAACTATTTTATGCAAAAGTTTATTGAAAACGGCATACTTTTCATTTTGTGACTTGGATGACAAATCTAAACAGGTGTTAAATCACTCTGCCTTTAATCTCAAAAAAACAGGAAGCTGAAATATGTCAGGAACATTAGAAAGTACATTACACAAAGTATGAAGGTTGTCTGTCAACTTTTAAGTTAAAAAAATGTGAACAGGAACAAACATACACCAAGTATACTGTACATGTGTTCAAATATATTTAGAACTGATTTAGACCAACTGACATTAACTGAGATTTTACAATGTATTCCTCTCAATTGAAAAAAAAACTTGACTGCACTAATGTGAAGGGTGAAACTGAGATCTGGACTGCAGCACATAGACTAGGTCTGGTTCAAAGGCCGTGGTTTTGATGCGCAAAATGTCACGCAGGTGAGAGTCACTTAGTCTTGTCCTCACACGGTTCTTGTTAAAGTTCATAACAGAGAATGTCTTCTCACACAAATATGTTGAGCCAAACAAGCTCAACATTTTCTTAGCCAGTGTTCGAATCTCTTGAAACCGGCTCTTATCCAGTTGGCGGCAAAAGTTCACAAGAGAGAGCTGTTGGTGATGACTGCGTAACTCGCTGTCACAATGCAGCTCAATGAGCTCGAGCTGCAGCTGATCTGGAGCATTGTCGGGGTCAACAGAGAATGGAGAGGAGAAAATGCTGATCTCTTTCCATCTTTCCGGTTTGGCTTCTTTATGCACATTAGAAAAAAATTTTTAGTGGTGGTGCGCCCACAAACTTTCGATGCACTCAGACTGTGAAGGAGTGCAAAATATATTTAGAACTGAGATTTGGACTGCAGCATTTTATTTGATGTCAATAGCTGCAAAATCTTGAAAACGCCGTTTAAACTCCCCAGCCAGAGATGCGATGTCCGCTGCATACCTGCTCGTTTGTGCACTGATATCATCCTGTGGAAAACTGTTCATTATTTCCTGCAACGCTGAAAAGTGAACAGTATTGGGCTGCGTTTGTGACAAATGCCTTAGGAAAAGTTGCAGCTTTGTTCCAAAGGCTTTGAGGTGTGAATAATGCTGGTTCACCGCTGCATCTTTGCCCTGAAGACTCGTGTTCAGTACATTCAGATGCTTTGTTATGTCGACTAGAAACCCCAAATCAGCCAGCCAAATAGGATCAGATAGTTTCTCGCATCGGTTGTCCCTTTGTTTCCAAGAATTCTCCAATTTCCTTTCTGAGAGAGTAGAAACGCTGCAGTGCAGACCCCCGACTGAGCCATCTTACATCATTATGATATAAAACATCTTCGTATTCAGCCTGGATATCCAGTAAAAACTGTTTAAACTGGCGGTGGCACAGGGCTTTAGAGCGGATGCAATTAATGGTCTTTAGCACCGGTTTCATAACATGATCATATTTGAGATGTTTAGCACATAGAACTTGTTGATGAATGATACAATGAAGTTTGATAGCGTTGCCTCCTACTTCAATCACCTTGTTACAGATTAGGGTTGATAATCCACTTCGTTCACCAGTCATGGCAGGTGCCCCATCAGTAATAATCCCAGTAACCTTGTTCCAAGGCAGGTTCATGTCATCTATGGCAGAACTAACAGAGACAAATAAATCTTTTCCTCTTGTTTGGTCCTTAAGGCTCTGGAGGTCAAGCAGCTCCTCAGTCACATTCATTTCATCATCCACCCCTCTCAGAAAAATCAGCAACTGAGCTGTGTCAGAGAGGTCTGACACAGAGAGCTTTCATCACAGGCTATTGAAAAGAAGTCAAAATCAACTCCTTTTGACG